TAATTTTGTGTTTGTAATTCTGTACATTTAATTAAGTTGTTGTTAATTGTTTATTTGGTTAATGTAAGTGACTATTGTTCGGGACGAACAATACTAAGGAAGGGGCAGTGTTACGACAGCGGAAGTCACGTGACGCTAGTAACACATCATTGACTTCTAGAAATATCCTGTTACTTCATGAATGCTCTAGCTTTTACTAGATATGCGGTAGGTAGTCTTGTATATATAAGACGGTCACATCGTGACGGCAACAATGTGTAATTGAACTGCGGACCGAGAGAGAGACGTATTGTTGAGCGCGTGAGACGTTCGTTGTGAATTATAGCGTTTGTTATAGCGCGACTGTTGAAATTAAGTGTATCACAAAGTTGTATTCAGAAAGAATAAACCAATTTTATTTAAGAAAGGACTTGTATCGGTAAAGTTTCTTCGGAAAGAATTTTTACGGAAAATTAACTAACGACCAGAGACGTAACAATATCTTTTGAACTTTAGAAACGTGACACTGTTGCTTAGCTACAACGCACAGCACTCTGTTTACCTGTTATTATTATTGAATTTTTTTCAAAAACTTGTCCTCCCTCGACGCTCATTCTGTGGGCTAATAATATTAAAATCGAGTTTGAATACCCACAGTAGGCAGAGCCCAGATAGCCCAGTTTGTAGCTTTGTGCTTAACAATACATAAACAAATAATTCGAAAAGTTTTAAACATATTTGGAATCTCAGTTTTCAATTATTATTTATACACATATATATATATATATGTTAATATTATGGTAATATTAAAATAATATTGATGTGCTACTGATTCAAGTATATGTTTTTCTAGATTTGCTGTATGATGCTTATTTCAAATTGTTTTGTTTGATAACCCCCTCTGTGGTATCAAACCTTTTGTTCCGTCAAAGTTTAAAACCATCTATGAAAGGTCGTCCTGATCCCAAGCGTTGCAAACATTAAAAAATCTATTAATCATTTACTTTTCTTTTGTGGTATAAGTTACCCTTTTTTGTTTTCAATTTTATGAATGTTTAAAATATATTGTGACTTGTGAGATTCAGAACATCTAAACTTAGCGTAGAAGAGGGGGCGTAGCAAGTTAGTGATGTATCGTTAACTGAAATAAACGAATGAATTCAGCAAACGTGTACTAATCCATTTACAAAAGAAATGAAATAGTATTTATATTTGGCAAAATGCATTGAATTGAATATTAGTAAAAAGATGTAACTGAATTACAAAATATGGTAAAAAATATATATTAACATTGTTCAAGACTTTTAGAACGAACAGTGAAAATATAGCAAAAACTCATTATTTTTATTACCCATCACATAGTTGACATTTGATTTTTATTAAATATTTAATGTTTAAAATAATTTGTTGTTTAAGTTTTAACAACATTGTTGGCATAACTCATTTTCATGTCGTACAACTGATTTTTGAATTAGGGACTGTTACCTCAATATCTATTATAGGTTGTGTGGAAAATACCAATTAAAGGTAACAAAGGATAAATTAATATGTCCAAATAAAAACTATTTAGTTTCATTTTGCACAGTTTCTGGCATACGCCCTTAGACTGGCACTAGCAGTAAATATCGCGTGGAAAATGAGGCGTTGTAGTATACTGTGTAAACTTGAAATAGAAAGGTACATGTAATAACCTTTTAAAGAAAATTGAAATGTGACTAAAGGGGAAATAAGTTTTTATAAAGAGCAAAAATTACAGTTGAGTTAATTTTATACTTTAATATCTTGTTAAAATGACACTATTACATTTACAGTTGAGTTAGTTTGTGGACCAGATTGTTGTGTTAAGCCTAATATTTGATACGTATATTCGTGAACTGTTAGTGTTAGTATTACTGACAATGACAGAGTAAAAATACAGTTACAAGATAGTTTGGGCCGTAACTTGGATGTACATATGAACTTCAAAACCTAGCCTTTTCAAGACTTAAGTTAACTTTAAGCATTTGCCATATACGTGGTGAATACTTGCACTTAATAATTTAATAATTTCTTACATTTTTTAATTTGTAGGTCCTACATTAGGCCTAATCCCGTATATGTAAATTGTAACTGTGTACATTCCACTGCTTTCTTTGGTGTTAATTATATTATTTCGAAATTTGTTGTTTAGGCCAAACCAAACTCTTATGGAACATTTCAGAAGTAGGAGTTTTTCAATAATTCCCAAAGTTGAGCACTAGGTGACAATCCCAAAATTGTTTTTGCTGTATACTTTTCAATTGATTTCAGAATACTTGTGGCATTCCAAAAAGTCACTAAAATTTAAAAAGGGGCTAAAATTTGAATTTGTGTGTGTGTGTGATTCTGGAGAAAATGGGAGTGCCCTTTTGGGGGTCATTTACTAAAAGTATAGGTATAATTTAGAATAATCATGACTGGTATTTCTTATAGTTATGCTAGTAATTTAGATCAGTTATTTTAAACTGCTCATCTACATGGATATTTCAGTTGGTCTAGGATGGTTGAAAAACAAGTATGTTTTAAAATGTAGCTACTGAATTATTTTACAATGTAATATAAAAGTACTTTCAAAAGTTAATATTTTATAAAGTTCTGCATAAAGTTTTGGTATTGGAACGAGTTAGAAAAAAGTTGGGAACCACTGTTCTACATCATATCACCAGAAAGTGAAGATTGAAACATAAAAATAGCAATTAGGTCTACTTTTGAGCATCCCTCACATGTGCTGAAGCCAATGGGGAAGAAAAATGTAATTCTCATCTCATCCCAGTTCAGCATAACACAGGACTAAATTTTGAACCTTTGTAAATAAAGTCTTAATTTGAGAAGCCAATTTTCAGGTTTTCTTTGCCAGAATTTCATCAAAAAATGTAATTGAAAGTGCTAAAGGCACTATTATTTCAAAAGAACTTGTAAAATACAGTACACCTATTGTAACATAACACGTGGACAACATTTGCTATTTAGTCCTTCAAGGCTTTCCTTACCCACCCACCCTTGAGAAAATAAAATTTAAACCCATCTTTTATTTTTCAAGAAGTTCTTTATTCTGCCCTTAAACTTATAAAGTGCTGACCACCACAACTGCCAATGGCAATTCATTTCATAAGCTAAATTCCCTGTTTTCCAAACCTAAAACTTGTGTTCTTTCATCCTTTTGTCTTCAGAACATAGTACAAAGAAAACAAGCATTTATCCTATTGTTTCCTGGATAGTCTTATAAACTAATAAAATTGACTCGTATCCTTTTCTCTTCAAGTGAAAATGAGTTAAGATATTTTAACCTATCATCCTAGTAACTGTTTCAAATATGTCATTATCCTTTCATAGATTAAATATACCCTACTTATCCCTGAACTATATCTAACCATCCAAAAGTTTTACTAGTCTTTATTCTCTCTTACCAATCTATTCACCTTTGTTATATTTTATTACACTACTCACAAACATTAAAGGATAATGAGGTTTTGATATGTTTTTTTTTCAAAATTTGAAGAAATAAAAATGTAGAAATGTTCAGTACTGATGAAACCTGTTTATTACAAATATCTCAAGTAATCAATGCCAAGCATGTCTGAAAATATGTTTACAAGTAACCTAAAGGAAAATTAACAAAATATGCCAATATTTGGTTTTACAAATATCAGTAAAAAAAAAACAATCTTAAC